TGTGCTGCCTGTTGCCAAGGCCTGGCAGCGCCAAAAGCGCCAAAGGCGATGGACTGCCTGAGCTTGCGGCTCCCCTAGGGTTTTGGGTTTAGGGCCGTTTAGGGTTTAGGGTTTAGGGCCGTTTAGGCTTTAGGTTTAGGGTTTCGGGTTTAGGGTTTAGGGGGGAGGTGGTAGCAGTTGTCGTCTTCATCGTCGTCGCAGTGGCGGTGAAGGTGGTGGCGGTGGTGGTGATCCGCTCAGGGAACCCAAACCCCATTCAAAAGTCAACCCTAAGCCTTAATCAGCACTGAAAGCCCTCTCTAAACAGCAAGACCTAAAACCCTAAACCCTAAACCCCTGAAATCGAAAGCTTTCACGCTCAGCTGCATCTCGCGACCCGGCTGCAGTCCGCTCTGCTGCAGAGTCCGGAGACTGTCTTGAGCTCGCTGCCAGGGTCCCAGGAAGTTTCTGCCCGCCGCCAGATACACAGACTCATCTAACCTGGATTGGGGTTGAGGGTCATATAGGGTCAGGCGGGAATTTCGGCTTGAGGGTTTCAGGGACTCGTGTTGCATAGGGTTTGAGGACTGGTCCTGTGTGAGATATGGCCTGAATCCCGCTGCAAGCCCTCTGAGGAGAACCAGGTGCATGAGTGAACAGGGAATGACACGAAGGTCGAACAACTTCCACGGAGTTCATTTTCAAAATGCGAGAACCAACAGGCTCGATGCATGGTCGTCTGCACAGGATAGTTTAGGATAGCTCAATATTGCCAAGGAGAGAGAGACAGACACAACCGTCGAGATGGGTCCAGGACACAACGCAAGCAACCATGCAGATGCATCCAAATATGTGCAGAGCAGCTTCACCACATGCTTCCGCAGCTCCTCCAACAAGCACAAGCCGAGATTCCAGAGACCAGCTCTACCACAGGCCGTGATAGCAGCTGCACCTGCTAGATGTTTCCGAGCATTTATTTCCACGACATCATCACGGGAGCCTACTGACAAGCAGGCTTTGTAAGAGGACGGCTTGTAAGCCCTCAACCTGAACCGCTGCACCTGAAGCCTCAATCCTACACCTAAACTCGAAACCCTACCCCAAACCCAACATCCCAAGCCCTACACACGAAACCTTAGGCCCTAGCCCTAACCCTCCGCCTGAGGTGGCACTTCCCAGCTTCTGCGACAGAAGCTCGCAGAAGAGGGCCACTGCCATCTGCCAGTGATCTACGAAGGCTCCCTGGGCCGCATTGTAGACGACCTGACCGGCCTCAGGTGCGAGCACTAAACTTCCGAAGCTCCTAAACGGCTTAGGGTTTGGGGCGTAGGGTTGTAGCTGTGCCCAGAGGAAGGGAGTAGATTTCAGGAGCTTTTACTTGTGTGGGGTCCGGAAGGCCTGCAGGTGGTGTCGCGGGAGCTGGGATAGCAACGTCAGGGCCTTCTCCCACAGGTCCGCCTTCCCACATGCACGGATGACAGAGCTGAAAGCGAAGCTATCGAGACGAAGGCGTCCCAATGTGAGCTCTGAAAGGAGCGTCAGGGCCTGCAGCCACTGGGTGGCCTCACCACAGGAACTGATGGCTGCACTGTAGGTGATGACATCCGCTTGCAGGATGAACTGCAACTCCTTGAAGACTTGAAGGGACTGCTCCCACCTCGACGCAGTTCCGCAAGTGCTAACGACCGCATTATATGCGGCCACATCGGTCTGCAAAGCCTGCATCCTCATATACTCTAGCGCAGCCAACGACAGCTCCCACTGCCCAGACTGGCATGTGTTGATGGCCGCCGTGAAGGTGAAGGAATCAGCCTTGAAGTTCCGTTTTGGCATCTCCAGGAGCAGGGCCCAGCCTTCCTCCCAGCGCTGCGCGGCACCGAAAGCGCTGATGACGGAGTTGAGTGTGACAAGGTCGGGTTGCAGGGAAAGGCTCACTAGGGAGGCAAAAGTGGATAGAGCCAGCTGCCACTGCCCTCTTCTTGTGCATGTGCTTATCATTGCATTGTAGGTGACCACATCCGCCTCGACTTGCTGGCGACATAAACCCTCGGCGAGGATGTCAAGTGCCTGCTGCCAAAGCCCGCGACTAATGTAGGAACTCATCGCTGCATTCCATATCGCGACATTGTGTTGCACGCGAGATTGCTGAAGATCAAGCAAGAGGAACAGGGCGGACTGCCATTCCTCGGCTTTCGCACAGGCGCTGATCACTGCTATGTAGGTGACTTGGGTAGAGGACAGCGGCTGTTCGGATAGCGCATGAAGAAGTTGCAAGGCGCGCTTCCAGTCACCGGCCTTCTCACATGCACCGATTGCTGAGTTGTATGTGATTGTCGTGGGTCGAAGCCGTTCTTGCTGCAGCTGGTCCAACAGTTGCAAGGCCTGCTGCCAGCGCCGAGCCTGACCACAGGCATGGATTGCCCGGTTGAAGACAAAAGTCGTCGCCTGTTCATTACCCCGTTCTGCCAAAGACAAAACCGCCTCTTGCCACAGCATGCTGCTTCTGTCCTCGGGATGCTGTTATTCCTTCCCGGCGATGGAGTGTGGTTCGCCCGGGCAGCCTGCGCGCGTGTCATCGGTTTCATGGATGGAATATGTATCCACGGGCTCAGAAGACCTGCGGTGTACAACTACGGGTGCCAGCTGTAGGCGTCCGCTGTCGGAAGAGGGACGAGGGACAACAGCATGACAGAGAGTGTAGGGCAAGCTACCACATCCAGGCAATTCGGAACTTCCTATCGGCTCACGAATGTCGGTTACTAGACCTGACCACAACCAAGACTTGAGTACAGGCGCGTTGCAAAGGCTGCTCCTGCAGCGAGAGGAACTACCCAAACCCCCATAGTAGCCTCATAGAAAGCTTATAATATTAAGAGCCGAGGCCCTATGAGAACCCTAAAACCCTGAACACTAAACCCGAAACCGTTATCAGAGCCGTAAAACCCTACCTTTCGCTGGAAGCAATCCAGGCTTCGGCAAGGCATCGGTCCACGGAATTTCGAAAACTCAAAATGGTTTAGGGTTTAGAGGTTAGGGAGATAACGCTTTGCATTAACTCCTGTCGGTGCTAGAGCGCGTCTTAGCAGATGCAGTGCTCCTCCTAGTATCCCTAATGCCCGCACATACTCGATACCTGTTCCTGCCTCTACTCTTGCCAAGAAGCCTCCTGGCTGCCATTTCCTACTCCTACCCAGAGTAGTACTGTTGATATTGAGACAATGTCGCCAAAGCATATTCACCACCACGTCCACGACTGCAGCCTCAACTGTGACTATGAATTATCTGGTTCTTCTCATCTGCCTGGGTTTTTCACACTTGGACACACCCGGTTGCCAATTCTGTGCACTCATGAGCATGTAGCTTTCGCGGTCACCAGGCATGACACTGTTCCTCTGCACCGAAGCCCAACATGCATGAGCCGTGCACAGCACCGGAAAACCCTGCACCCTACAAAACCTTAATCTCTGAACCGTAATTAAACCCGGATAGAACATATATCAAATTATCATCGTCATCAGCATCATACTCAACGTCGCCATTGCGAGGCAGTAAAATACATACTACACTTGACCATATTCGGCTATAACGGTTGTAACCATCACGGTCTTCCGATCACTGCAACGACCATTACGATGGTCATGACCCTAAGATATCTACCAAACGCCCACAAAATACAACCCTAAACCACTACACCCTAAACCCTACACCCTAAACCCAAAGCTCCAAGCCCTAAGCCCTAAACCCTAAACCACGACACCCTATAGACCCTAAACGCCCAAATAGAAACCTGAACCCCAAAAAAACCCGCGACACGTCTTCGGCCACCGAGATGGGCACTTTGCTCAAAGGCACCGAGATGGCGTTGTAGCCTTTTTTGGCTTTGGGCTTAGGGCTTCAGGGGTTTAGGGGTTTAGGGGTTTAGGGGTTTAGGGGTTTAGGGGTTTAGGGGTTTAGGGTGTAGAGTCAAGAGTTCCAAAAGGGAGCATCTTCAATTGAAAACCCCCAGAGAGAAGTCAAAAGGCCTGAAACCCAGATTCTGCACCTAGAACTCCAAGTCCATAAAACTCGACATCCCAACCTCCGGATCACGCCGCCAGTGCAATTTCAGCACTCAAAGGCGGCTGGAGTCTATGACGCTTGGTGCGTCAAATTGCAGCTCTCCTTTCAACCCAAGTCTTCATTTCTTTCTGCGGCTCATTCTCCTCCTGTTAGCTCTTCACAACAAACAAAACTGCTGGCAGCGACATTAGGCTTTGCAGGATCTTTGTTGTGGTTCTGATTCGATGGGGCAGATCAGCGTTTATAGGGGTGTGAAGAGCTTCAGGCTTGGCTTGGGATGTAGTGCGAGGCACTCTGACTCAGGTTTGGGTCCAACAACAGGGCTGAGGGTTGAGGGTTCCTGCAGATAGGGTTTAGGGTTTAGGGTTTAGGGTTAGGGTTATGTCAATCATCTCAAACATTTCGCATTGACCCGAAAGTTGTGAACGTTGTCAGGATCGTCACCTCCTAGTACTGGTCACATAGTGCCAATGCTGTCCTTCCTGGCAGACTTCCAACAGCACATAGGCTGAAGAAGCAGAAAACGAAAGACCAAAGTCCCAAGCCCAAACCCGAAAAAGCCTACACCCTGAATCTTAAACCAAGAAACCCTAAGCCTAAGCTCGAAGAGTCAAACAGTCAAACCCTAAACCTTCAGCCCCAAACCTTAAACCAAAAAAAAACCTGAGCCCCAAGCCTTAAACACTCAGCCCTCAAACCTAAACCCTAAACCCTAAACCTAAACCCTAAACCCTCAGCTAAGCCTGCTTCCACGGCTTCGGACTCAGGGTGAGGGCTTTTTTTTTGCCGCCGCTTGCTGGGCTCGAGTCTCGGATCTTGCAAGATGCTCAGTAGAGGGGCCTTCGTACTTGGAACCGCATTCCGTTAAAGGGTTCCTTCAAATTGAGGGTCCTTCAGAGGAAAAGTACATTTCAGGGTTCCTTCATGAGTTACTACAAGTGCTTTGTAATCAGAGCCGAGGTTTGCAAGGCGTTTGCTTCGGGTGCTATCCAGGATGCGACACAAGGGTCTGTTAGTCATACTAAATTTAGAATAAATAACAGGAACAGTGGGTGATAGTTTTTGTATGTTTTTAGGCTTCTGTATGACTCGGATCTAGCACGGCGCATGCCTCGTCCCGACGCTAATAAAGTTCTGAGTTCCAGATGTATCCGTTCTCATCATTCTCATCCCTGTTTCACGATGAACTGACACCTTGGCCCTTCCGGCCGCAATGCGTTGTGATCCTTCGGTTCTACTCGCCTTCGTTTCGGCTTGCTCAAGCTCGGAATTCCCGAAAGCTTGATGTGCAGGTTTCAAAGAAGTGCTGAACCACCGTGCGTGCGCTCAAGCTGCTCCCATGGCCATACACACCGGATGATGCACAGCAAGTGTCGAACTGCACGTACCCTAAACTCCAGACTCAACTAAAGCCATGCAGGAATTCTAGTTAGCACAAGCCTCCAACTCAAACCGGCTGAACTGAAACAGCCCTTGAACCCTCACCCTAAACCCTGAAGCAGCAGGCAGGTCGGAATTGCAAGTTGGCAAGTGCACCTCCGACCGAAAGGTCCTGATCCCTTATCGAAGCCAGCAAACCCTTCAACCAGGCGCTTCTGTCCTGTGCCCATACATCATCCCTAAAACCTGCGGAATAAATCCTGGGGTCTGCGGATGTCTCAGGGTTGCCACCTTGCCTTTGAAGCCCAGCACTGAAACCCTAAACCCTTGACCCTGAAACCCTAAACCTGCCATGGGTTTCATTGAGGTACCGGCCGGCATCGTATGCTGCTCGCTGCAGCTTGTCGAAGTCTGCAATGCGAAAAAGCATCGACAAAACCTGCACTGCGCAAGCCTAGGGTTTAGGAGTTTAGAAGTTTAGGGTTCAGGGCTCGAAAGGTTTAGGGTTTAAGGTATAGAGTTTGGGTAGACGGTGGGTTGCAGGCTTCAGGCTTTAAAAGGTAATGGGCTCGAGCTCTGGGGCTTGGACTTCGGCTTGCGGATGGAAGTGTGCTCTCGTTTAGGCTTTAGGGTTTAGGTTT